TATTATAATACTAATAATAATAACAATAATAATAAATAATAATAATAATAATTTTAATAATAATAATTTATAATAATAATAATAATAATAATAATAATAAAATATAAATTAGTAACAGTTAGTAGTCAGTAGTAGTAGTAGTAGTAGTAGTAGTAGTAGTAGTAGTAGTAGTAGTAGTAGTAGTAGTAGTAGTAGTAGTCGTAGTAGTAGTAGTAGTAGTAGTCGTAAACCTTAAACCCTACTCGGTCCTGGTCTTGGCTTGGCCGTCCAGCTGCGCCGTTGTCAGGCGTCGAGGATGGTTCTCGCCCCGCTCCTAGTGCTTTGGGCTTTAGGCTGAAGGCCTTTAAGGATGGACTACGCATTGGCATATTGCCTCGGAACCTGGGGGCCTGGCTGCTCGTACCGAAGAGCCTTGGAGCCTTGGAGCCTGTCAACGAAGAGCTTGCATCGCAAACCAGGCAACATTCCCTGTTCATTCCGGCAGCCGTGGAGCCCTGGAGCCCGGAACCCTTGCATTTCAACCACAGTTAGGCTTGGCCCGGAGCCAGAGGCCAAGGAGGTTGGAGCCTTGGAGCTTGGGAGCCTTGCTTCACATTTCGACCACAGTCAGGCTTGGCCCGGAGCCAGAGGTCAAGGAGGGTCACCATCTTCAGGTAGGGAGCTTGGAGCCTTGCTTTACATTTCGACCACAGCTAGGCGGCTTGGGGCTCCGCAAACGCCAAGAAGGGTCCCCCTTTTCATTTCGGTAGCCTTGGAGCCTTGGAGCATTGCCTTACATTTCGACCACAGTTAGGCTTGGCCCGGAGCCAGAGGCCAAGGAGGGTCCCCCTTTTCATTTCTACATTTGGACCGGGAGCCAAAGGCAAGCAGGGTCCCACTTTCTGGAGCCTTGGAGCCTTTTGGCGCAAAGCCAGCTTGGAGCCTTGCCTTGCGAGCCTTGGAGCCTTGCTTGGCCCCCTTCATTTTGACCACAGTTAGGCTTGGCCCGGAGCCAGAGGCCAAGGAGGGTCCCCCTTTTCATTTCTTGGAGCCTTGGAGCCTGGGAGCCTTGCTTTACATTTGGACCGGTAGCCAAAGGCAAGCAGGGTCCCACTTTCTGGAGCCTTGGAGCTTTTTGGCGCAAAGCCAGCTTGGAGCCTTGCCTTGCGAGCCTTGGAGCCTTGCTTGGCACCCTTTCGTCATGTTGACCACAGTTAGGCTTGGCCCGGAGCCAGAGGCCAAGGAGGGTCCCCCTTTTCATTTCTTGGAGCCTTGCAGCCTGGGAGCCTTGCTTTAGAGCCAAAGGCAAGCAGGGTCCCACTTTCTGGAGCCTTGGAGCCAAAGCCAGCTTGGAGCCTTGCCTTGCGAGCCTTGGAGCCTTGCTTGGCCCCCTTCATTTTGACCACAGTTAGGCTTGGCCCGGAGCCAGAGGCCAAGGAGGGTTGGCCCGGAGCCAGAGGCCAAGGAGGGTCCCCCTTTCATTTTGACCACAGTTAGGCTTGGCCCGGAGCCAGAGGCCAAGGAGGGTCCCCCTTTCATTTTGACCACAGTTAGGCTTGGCACGGGGCCAGAGGCCAAGGAGGGTCCCCCTTTCATTTTGACCACAGTTAGGCTTGGCCCGGAGCCAGAGGCCACGGAGGGTCCCCCGTTGAAGAAAAAACATTTCGACCACAGTTAGGCTTGGCCGGGAGCCAGAGGCAGGGTCCCCCTTTTCATTTCACAGCCTTGGAGCCTTGGAGCCTGCATCTTGACTCTCTTTCGCTGAAAGAGGGTCTCATTCTAGTCAGGTTCTTCACTCAGCATGCCTGGTCGTACCGAGCTGTCTGCAGCGAGGCAGATTCAAGGCCAGAAGCAGTAGAACACAAACGTACATGAGGGCAGGGTGCTTTGAAACTAAACCTTGTGGCCTTGACGACGATGGGTCGATGTCGATGCGGTCCCTCGCAGCATCGAATCATCCTGGCGACAGCCAAGATCCGCTGTCAAATTAATTAAACTTGACTGTCCAACGCAGCACGGGTCCTGACAGCTTCCTTGGCGCTGCGGCCGTGGACCACGCTTGCCCATCTCCCTGCCTGCAAAGAACGACATGTGAACCAGGTTACATGTGGAATTTGGGTGCGTTCACATGACTCACGACACTGGCCTCTGCTTTTTCGGACAACCCCCGCGCTGAGAATTAAAATAATTGAATTAGGGATCCCAGCCAGTCTTGCGCCAGACCTTGGAGCCTGGGAACCTGGTAGCCGCGACACGCCCTGCAAACAGCTTGTCACGACGCACTTCACCACTTCGGCAAGATGCAACGCACGGCACTGTGCGGAATCGGTTACAACGAGGAAACTCACTGCATCTCACATTGCATGCAATCTTGCCCCCATGCTCGGATATGCTGCTAACTGAACACACGAAGGCTATGAAAGTCACACCCTACTAACTAACCCTGAAACCCTTTAACCGACTCTAAACACACGTTAAACCATACGAGCCATCATCAAATAAAAATGGAGGCTCAGTCGAGTCATTTCTGATTCAGACAGAGCTCCGGCCACCGCCGCTTTCCGGGGTCTGGAGCACAGCCGACCAACACAAACAGCCCCCATTTACCGGCTCGAAGCACCTTTGTGCAGCACGTGTGACTTGCAGCGGGGCAATTGGCTAAGTCGCTGCGTGTTTTCCACAGCTCGGGCCACTGCTTGCACCACGCTCTCAGTCCGGCCTCCCCCTTGGGCATGAAGGGATTCCCGGTCTCCACCTCAAACACCACGCAAGCATAGGCCCACATATCCACAGCTGCAGTCAGCAGCTGCTTTCTGACACCGCAGTCTCCATCGCCATTCACACGAGCGGGCCACAGCTCCGGAGGTCGATAGGCAGCCGTGACATACTGCAGGAACCTGGGAGCCTGAGAAGCCTTCTGGAGCCGTGCCATGTTCTCACTCATGCCGAAGTCGCACACCTGCACCTGATCTGTGCAAGGGCACCAAAGAACATTGCCAGGTTTCACATCCAAGTGTAGGATGCCTGCGTCATGCAAGGTCTGCAGTGCACTTCTCAGCTGAGCTGCCACAGACCACGTCCTCGGCTTGCCATGCGCCGCAGGATTTCGAAGTGCGGTTGCCAGGCTGGGCCCACATAGGCTAGTAGCCATCCATGGCCAAGGTCTGCCCGTGACACCCGAGCTGACAAGAAGCGGGAACCACATCATCTTCTGCTGCGGAACGGCCTTCATTAGAAGCTTCATCTGCTCCACTTCGTGCCTGCAATCCGCGGGGCCATCGGAGCCACGATAAACCTTCACCGCCACGTTAAGGCCGCTTTGCGGATGCTGGCAACTGTAGACACTGCCATAGGCTCCGCCTCCAATTGGAGCCCTTGCACCATTACGCTCAAATGGGCCAACGCGACCGCCAGATTCGTCAGCGGCAGGGGGGTCCTTCGCCTCGTCGGGGCCGCCCGCACTGGTCGTGGAGCCCCGCATCCTGATGCCAAGAACGGCCAGTGCACTTCGCTGAGCCATGCACTCATCTTTGCTCCTCGCCATGAATGGTGCCTTCTGCTTGTCGGTCATGCCCTGCCAGACTGCGCCAAGATGCTTCATCTCATTGAGAAACTCGTGCTTGGGAGCGCCTTTCTTGACTTCGGAGTTTTCCTGGAACCAGATGACGAAGGCCCTTCGATCCTTGGGGACCAAGCCGTCTTTCACAGCCTGCTTCCGCAAGCTCTGCGATTTGCTGCCACCATGCTGGCACCCCCGGGGCATCCGACGAGAAGCCGTCTTGAGACTGGTTTTGCCCCAGAGGCGTCTGGTAGGCCTCCATCGGCAGCCCATGTCGCACCCAAGCAGGGAACCTCAGAGCCTGGGAACCTGGGGCCATAACGGCTCGCTTTAATGCATTCAGGCGACTACAACAACATCCTCGGCGAGTCCTATTTCAATGTCATGCCACAATAAGAGCATTTCGGCTTTTTCATGCGACAGTAGTCACTGCTACACACTACTGACAAAACTGAGCCCGGCAAAAGGTCAAGAGCCTGAGAACCTGGGAGCCTAGGTGCCTGAGCTGGTGCCTGAGCTGGCGGATTCGGTCGAAGTGAAACATCATCACTGCGGTTGATCGCGGGGGCAATCTGGCTCAGCAGGTGCCTCGTCCTGGTCGTCTTGGTTGGACAAGCTCTCCAGAACGTGCGGGAAATGCTTCTTCACCGCCTTGGCATTCTCGTCCGAGTAAAGAGTGGATCCCTCCAACGCCATCATTCCGCAAGCTGCGCGATCAGCAACCGCCTGGACCCACGACATGTGCTCCTTGTTGAGGCCTCGGATAATTTAAATAAAATCAAATGACAATGATCTGACGAATCTACTGGACAAGTAAGGGTGCTGCAAAGCCCGTGGTATGCGATGCCGGCAGTCAAAGAAGCCTCCATCAGAGCACCGGTGCCAGCCGTGAGGTCAAACACTGCCTCCGCGCAAAACTCCTCAATGATGGCATGCCAATATGCTATCGGCTTCGACTCGTTCCAGAACAAGGGTACGTCGGAGCCGTGGCGATCCTGCCAGTCCTCTGGCGGTGTCGGGAGGTCGCCGGTTGTTGCCGGAGCAATGATCTTCTTCTTGTTGTCTGCAGACACGAGGGGCATTTCAGAAACCGCACGGTACTCCACGCCTGAGTAAGTGCCTTGGTACGTAGAAGCCTCGCCGCAGACTGTGAAGGAGTCTTTCTTCGTCGTCTGAATCTTGGTGCGTGCGACCGGGAACTTAACCGCTCCTGTCTCCACCTTCTTTGCAGCCAGCGGAACGCGGCGAGTGCGACCAGTTCTCGGCGGGCACCCACCTGAGTACACGATGGTGCACTCCTCGGTGTGCTGCTGGTTCAGCAGGAGGTCTTCCTTAGCCTTGGAGCCTGGGAGCCTTGTCACATCACCCCGCCAAGACTCGGACACGCGGCGAATTTCCCGCATTCTGCCGTCGAAGAGTACGACGAAATCCTCGGGCCCAGAAATGTCTTTGGCAAAGGCACAGATCTCTTTCCATTCCTCGCTTGGCGGAGCGCCCTTGAGCCACGGGTCGGTACCAGCCTCTGCCAAGAGATCCGCACTGGCAACGATCAGGCGGTGCGAAGAGTTTAAGGTGCCCTTGTGCGTGAAGACCTTGCCGCAACCTCTGAACGCATTGACTAGGCAGTCCTTCGAGATCTTGTTCGGTACCGAGAACGACACGAACTTGCGGCGTTCCGTTTGCACCGCCTTCCACTGCCGCTCACGCTCGACACATTCCTCGGGTGTGTCAGCTTCAGAAGCCTTGGCCAGGCTTTGGAGCAAACTCGGAGCAGGAGCCGCAGATGTGGCACCAACGGACTTCGTGCTGTTGTCGAACTTGTCGACAATGATCTTCATCTGAGTGATAAGCGCACATGGCTCCTCGTGCTCCGTGTCATCAGAGCTTCCAAGCTGTGCAGCTGTCAATGCCTTTGCAAGGCCATCTTCACTCGAAGCCAGCATGCAGCAATCCTTGTAGTACTTCCCCGACCTCAGCTCCAGCAGCAAATCCAAAAGCATGCCAATGGCTTTGTTGAAACCCTCTTTAACAGCTCCAATCTTGGACTGCGGAACAGGGCGCTCCACGTCCTCTGGGTCCTCGCCGTCCATGTCGTCCTCTCCATCAGCCCCTTGATCAGCATCAGCATGGCAGAGATATTTCTCCCAACATGTGGAAGGGCAACGGAGTTCAGCCAAAATCCCTGTCAGCTTAACCTTGTCCCGCTCAGGCAACTTGTTCGCCAGCTTTGCTGCATAATCGAAGACCTCTGTCAGTGTTCAAGCTGCCGATGACTTGCAACACTCCGCAAAAAAAAAAATACACACGCTAGTCAGAATAGTTACAATGCCTGCACCACCAGCATGCGCGACAACCAAAAGCCAGCATCGCCTGTCTTCCGGTCTCGATCCAGAAACTTCTCGGTGCATTTAGCTGGCGTGACCATGTTCATGCGCAGGGCCAGCGTCAAGGAGTCCATCATCCAGGCCGCCAGGTCTACAGCGTTTCTGGTAGCAGATGCGAGCTTGTTGGTCAGCGATAACAGCTTGCTCAACTTCGAGTACTGACTGCTCAAGATGCCCCGCCCAAATTCCAGCTCCAATCTCCGGGCAGCCTTCTCCACGGGACCGGATGGACCCCGCCGCACTGCAACAGCTGCTGTGGCAGCCTGGTGTAAGGCCTTGTTGTACAAGGTGTTGTTGTACCTCAAGTTCTGTTCCTCACCATCCTGGACTTTTTCGACCTTGAGCAGCTGGACAGGCTTTGCAAATGTCCAAAAGGTGTCGGACAGGCCAGGGTGCCCGAGTGCCTTGACTTTCTCTGAAGCAAGATTGCGACTCTTCGCAATCTCCCCTGCTCTGGAACACAAGCGAACCTGTATCGTGACAGTGCAGCCACACTCCCACAAAATCTCCAAAACTGCTTTGTCCTGCCAAGTGCAAGCACACATCAGTCAGATGAATCAATACCATGTCATGTCATGTGAACACAAGCAGCAACTGTCCTGGGAGACTAGGGCTTTGAAGACGGCCAAGTACCAAGCCCACAACACAAACACGCCGCTAGCAAGATGCAACGAGCTGTTTAACTCTTCGTGAATCACGTCAGATGCTGACTCCGTGAGGACAATCATCTCACAAGGCCACGTCAGCCGGTTTCGTGACGTTTTTTGTTTCTTCTTGGCAGCTTCACGCGATACAACTGTGCTGAAAGCAACTTTCTTGGAGAAGAAAGCGTCTTCGAAAGTTTGGAGATCCTGCCAGCACACATCCTCAGACGCACTGGCAAAAGTTTCGGTGGCCAGCCACAGCGCGAGGCCACTGGCTTCGTAAAGTCCAGATGATGTCAGGGACGCTTGGCAGTCATCTTTGCTCCACACAGCCTGACAAACGACAACGGTCAAACAATAAATGACATTGATCGACATGCGCCCGCCTTGTATCCGGTCAAATCCCCCATCTTGGCTTCTGCGTTGATGGCAAGCGGCGGTGTCTTGAACATCTGCTTGGCCTGCGGAAACTTCAGAGGGAGCTGGCTGCGGACCTCGGGCAGGCACGGCATGCAGCACTGTTAGCCGCGGGACGGGACACGGTATCAAGAACTCAGCGAAGGGCCCATGGCACGATGTTTGCCAGGGCTTCTTGAGCACTGGCCTGCTTCACATGGCGTGCCACACATCATCATCATCACACACGTCATACTGCTCCGAAAATGCTGAGCTCAGAACGGTTGGGTCGGTGGGCAAATCCGGCACTTTTGCCATTGAGCGCGATTACAGAAGCCTGGGAACCTGGGAGCCGAGTAGCCTTCCACGGAACCGTTTGGAGTCTTGCGGTGCAGCGCAAGGCAATAAGACTGCTGCAGTGCAGGACATGCTGCAAACAAACACAAACTGACGTCGAAAGCGGTCCTTTGTAGTCGTGGGCCCTGCCACAGTTTGTCGACGAGCGGCTTGAGCTTTACATGTCCATTTAAATCAAGTTGGCAGCAAAGTAAGGAAGCATCAAAATCCTACTATGATGCTGATGAGTCATCTAAACATGACGACACCAAGCCGGCGCCACATGGACCTTGGAGCCTGGGAGCCTAGGAGCCTGTGAGACGCCTCAGCTGGGCATCAACGGCAGCGAGGGCATCCTGGTCGCGGCGGAGCTGCTTGTTGGAGACGTCCACCTGTTCCTTCAAGCGCCGTTTGTGCTCCACCAGCTTGGAGCGCTGAGCCTCAAGGAGAATGTCTGAGTGCTTCCTGGGGTTGCTCGTGCTCACGATGACCATCTCGATCCCGGACCTGCGTACCTTCAAGTTGCCGGTGCGGATCCGCTCTGCCAGGTCATTGCCCTTGAGCATCCAGAAGTACCCCATCGGATGGAGAACCGGCGGTGACTGGTTGATGACGCCCTCGCAGCTGAACTCGAGCATGTCCATGTCGAGCTGCTTGAGGGCAAAAAAACCCAACGTGGCCGCTGCGTGCGTGGACGAAGAAACGGGAACAGGGATGCACCGGGATCCGGAAGGAACGGATCCCCCTGCGCAGCGAACACGTGGTTCCGGGCCAAGAAGTTCACGAGGGCAGATGTGTCCTCCTTGCTAATGTCGAAGCCGCCGCCGCCGCCTTCCTCCGACTTGACCGCCGTGTAGCACATGAAGCCCAAACCCCCGCCAAGGTCGGGCCCGGGTGCAAGGGTCTGCCAGGCGCGGCTGGTCGTGGCCTGCACCATGACGTGCCTTGATCGGACGCAATACCCTGGACCCCTAAACCCCTAAACCCCTGAACCCTTGAACCCCTGAACCTCTGAACCCCTGAGCCTATAATTAATATAAAATTAAATAACAATAAATGAAAAGACTTCCTGGCGTCCGATGTACTCGAATTCAAGGCTCCAGTTCGCCTCGTCGTGGAAAGGCAGCTCCT